CCCCCCCCCGCGAGTCGCGTCCAGCCCCTCCCCGGTCCCTCCAGCGAGGATCCATCCCCGTTCTCACATCCGGGCTCTGCTTTTCCCTTTCCAGTCTCCTCCCCCACCGTCGGCAAACCCTACAAGTGCAACTACTGCGGCCGGAGCTACAAGCAGCAGAGCACGTTGGAGGAGCACAAGGAGCGCTGCCACAGTTACCTCCAGAGCCTCAACCCCGAGCCGCAGGCGCTGCCCGGGCAGCAAGGTCGGTGCCGGGGGGGGTCCCGGAGCCCCGATGCCCCCCCGGGTCCGGGGAAGGCCGGGAGGCGGCTCCCGGCGGGGTGGGAAATGGGAGCGCGGGGTCACTCCCCGGCCCCCGGATGGTGGGGTTGAGTTTTGGGGACGGGGTTGAGTTCTGGGGAGATGTTTCCCCCAAAAAAGGGGGTGCTGCGGGGGGGGGGAAGTGCCCCCGGTGGGCTCCGTGCCCCGGGTCTGGGGCAGGAGGTGCGATGAGCCTGTGCTGGGCGATGCCACGAACCTGCCAGTGCAGAGTGACCTCCCGGGCTCCTCCCGGGTTCCTCTGGACCCCAAAGCCCCGAACCCAAACGCTCCCCAGCCCCTATTTCCAGCGCAAGAACTACCAGGAGCGTTTTCCCCGAGCTGTGGTGCCCCGAGCTGGGGTTCACCCCTGGGGCCCGTGTCCCGGCGGGCACAAAGTGTGGCTCGGGAGCTCCTCGGGAGCTGCAGGGAGGGCAGAATTCCCTGGCAGAGAGCCAGGAACGGGGCCTCGCCGGCTCCTCACCCTCCTGGGCTCGGACAGGGAGACACAGGGAGGTTCCCCGTGCTCAGGGCCGGGGTCCCCCGGGAATGTGGGAGCTGCCCCGGCCTCGCCTGCCCCGCCGGGGGTGAGAACTCGAGGGCACTTCGATCCGTTGAAGCAGCTCCTCTTCCCAAGGCGGCAGGAGCGGGCCCGGCCGGACGGAGGAGGGATGCGGACCGGCTGCCGGCGCTCCCCTGCGCCCGACCACCGACGGGGTAAGCGGGGGGTCCGGCAGCCGGTCCGTAGGTCCGTCCCAGCTGGCAGAGGGCAGGAGCGGCGCACCCGGGTGGCAGCGAGCCCGTCCCCTGTCCCGCCGTGCCCGCTGACCCGGCCCCTCCCTTCTCCCTCCAGGTGAGGAGATGCGGGACCTGGAGATGGTGCCCGACTCCCTGCTGCACCCCTCGGCCGAGCGGCCGACCTTCATCGACCGCCTGGCCAACAGCTTCACCAAACGGAAACGCTCCACGCCGCAGAAATTCGTGGGTAAGGGGATGTGCCCTCAGGGGGAACAGGGAGACACCGGCGCTGCCGGGACCCCCCGGGAGCTGAGACCCCCTCCTTGGGCTGGGCTGGGGTTCGCTCCGGCCTCTGCTCTGGGATGGGGTCGGTGTTGGACACGGTGCTGGGAGGAGAAGGGACATGAGGGGGTGTGGGTGGTCATTCCAACCCCAAACCTGCCTGTCCAACACCACTCTCTAATATGGGGGGGTGGGTGGTATCCCAAATCCAAATGCACCTGTTCCAACACTGCTCTCTGATATGGGGGTTATCCCAACCCCAAACCTGCCCTTTCCAACACTGTTCTCTGATAATGGGGTTATCCCAAATCCAAACCCACCCGTTCCAACGCTGCTCTCTGATAATGGGGTTATCCCAACCCCAACCCCGCCCGTCCCAACGCCGCTCTCCTCCCGCAGGGGAGAAGCAGATGCGCTTCGCCCTCTCCGAGCTGCCCTTCGACGTGAACTCCAGCTTCGAGAAGGACGTGGAGGTGGTCTCGGCCCACCACCCCCTGGACGCCTCCTACGGCGGCCCCCTGTCCCTGCTGGGGGGGGAGCACCTGCGCTCGCTGCGCCTGCCCCCCACAAACTGCATCTCCGAGGTCACCCCCGTCATCAGCTCCGTCTACACCCAGATCCAGGCGCTGCCGGCGCGGCTGGAGCTGCCGGGGGGCCGCGAGGCCGCCGAGGGCCACGACGAGGTGCCCGACGGGGTGTCGGTGGTGTTCCGGGCCCGGGAGCCCAGCGGGTCTCCCTCCAACGGCTGCCAGGACTCCACGGACACGGAGAGCATCCACGAGGAGCGGAGCTCGCAGCTGGCGCCGGGGAGCAGCCGGCACAGCCCCGCCTACGCCAAAGAGGAGCCCAAGGGGCCGGAGGGACCCCCGGGCGCCCGGTGCACCCCCAGCTCCGCCAAAGAATCCCTGCGGGTGCTCAACGAGGACGGGGAGCAGCTCCGGGCCTTCAAGTGCGAGCACTGCCGGATCCTCTTCCTGGACCACGTCATGTTCACCATCCACATGGGCTGCCACGGCTTCAGAGACCCTTTCGAGTGCAACATCTGTGGCTACCACAGCCAGGACCGGTACGAGTTCTCCTCCCACATCGTGCGGGGCGAGCACAAAATCGGCTGAACCCCCTCCGGGCCCCCCCAGCCCAGCCCAGCCCACCCCCCTCCTCAGTTCTCCCCCTGTCTCTAGCGCAGCCCCTCCATCCCTAGGGCATGGAACTGTTGGTTTTTTCTTTTATACTCCTTTGCACTGACTTTGGCTACAAAAAGTATTTAAAAAAAAATTTTTTTCAATAATTAAAAAAAAAAAAACAAACAAAAACAAACCACGAACCAACCGGCCCCGCCAAGGGGGAGCCCTTAATCTGCCTTTTTATAAACGGAGTTATTTAAATATTGAATATTAACGGACTTTTTTGTGCTTTCCCCCCACCTCCCGAGCCTCCTTCCGTTATTTATTAAGCTTTTGAGTTTCCCTTTTTGTAACTCTCTCGGTTTTTTTACCCAAAGAAAGTCTCATCTGAACCTTTGAGACTGTTCCCCCCCGTCCTGCCCCATCGGCTCCTCTCCGAGCCCATTCCTTGGTGCGAGCCCGGCATTGCCCGTCCCCATTCCCGGGCAAAGGAAACCTCAAATTAGGTGCTAAACCCCCACGGGACCCCCCCAGTGCCCAGCCTGACCCCCCCCAGCCCGGCGGGAGCCGCTGCATCCCGAGCTTTGTCCGGGAAACCCCCGGAGTGGGATGTGGGGACCCCCCCCAGGCTGCCCCGGCGCCTTCCCAGCTCCCCCCTCGTGGGGTTCAGAGCCCCCCGACCCCACGGGGGGGTGTTGGGGGTCCACGTCCTCCCCAAGAGTGAAGGACGGATCCATCCTGTTCCTGGGATCTCCTCCTCCTGCTCTTCCTCGGCACAGGCCGGAATCTGCTGCAGGGCAGGACCCCCCCGGGGGACCCCAGGTCCGGCAGGACCCCCCCCGGGGGACCCCAGGTCCGGCCCCCCCTCGCTCCCCCCAGCATTCCCGGGGCTCGGCGGGGTCTCCGTGCTCTCCCGGTGCTCCCGTTCCCGCAGGGAGCAGCCGGAGCTCCCCAGGACCCTCGAGTTTGGGTCCGACGCCCCCAACACACCCCCTTTTCCCCCGGGATGATCCCGGGGGCAGTTTGCCGGGATCCAGGCAGATTCCAGGGGCGGGTTCCATTCCCAGTTAGGGACTCCCAGTCCTGTGGCTGGGGGCTCTGGAGCGGGGGCCCCTCTGGGATGGGATCCCACCAGGAGAAGGGATCGGGCAGGGCCGGGGCAGCAGCGAGAACCAAAAACCCCGGGCTGAGCCCCCCCCCTCGGAGCTGGGGGACCCCCAACCTC